TGATATGGCGATTGATCTTTGGAGACTCGTCTTTACAATACGTGAACCTCCGCTCTTAACGCGATGGCTAAACTTTCTAGAGTGTCATCACATTCGGGGAATACCTAGGGACACTTGGAACATGTTTCTAAACTTTGCCGAGAGCATCGGAGACGATCTTGGTGCTTATGATGATGCGGAAGCGTGGCCAAGCTTATTTGATGACTTTGTAGAGTACGAAAACGACCAAATGAACCAAAATATCACTAAAGATGACATTATGAAAGATACTTCTATTGACAAAGCTTAATGTTGTTGTTCTGGGAAAAACAGTGAGAAGCAAAAGGTATTATCTTGAATCTAACCTTTGAACAGGTTCATTCGACATTATCCTGCGATCAACATTTTATTCTTATCGCTATGATCGAGAAAACGACATTCTTAATCATTATTGTCAGCCCTATTTTTTAGATCTATTTGTTATTGCGTTATTTTGTTTGTATTTGGTATTCTACTTCCCAATGTAAATATAGCTAATGATTTTGTATAATATTTAATTGCGCGTATGTATTTGTATGTGCGTGTGCGTGTTCGTCGGTGTAAAAAAATTGCGAGAAATCTCCATATTTTAATGCGCTAGCAGCAAATTATATAGGTTATTATGTATTTGTTTTATATGAATCAGGTACATTTATTATCAAAGATGTATTTTTATATTTTATCTGACCATAATGATGTGTGTGTGTGTGTGTGTGTGTGCGTGCGTGTGGTGTCACTATATATACACACACCCACATGTGCGAATAATAACACGGTATGTTTCATGCAATTAATAATGCAATTGCTTATAAGAATAAACATGAAGAATAATTGTATCGAGAAACATAATTGTACTTATTTATTATGGTCAGCTACATGAACGCGCAATATCAGATAGATTTTTATTCATTTTATGGAATGTTATTTTATGGAAAATCTAGAATGCATTTCTTTTTTTCATTAAGTTGTGATATGTATAAACAATGTGTATTTTTAAATTATACATATTAAAAAATATACAATGAAATGAGATTATAAAATTTTGATACAGCAATGAATAAAATTACAGCTTTAAAATAATAAGTAGATTTAAATATTGCCAATATCATGATATCCGTTTGTATTGAATTACATTTATACTTCATGACGAAAGATGAATTATATTGATCTAAGTGAAATCGTTAAATTTTAGTTTGCCAGATACAAGAATGTTGTATTTTAGATTCTTTGAAATTTTAAATAGTTAAAGAGATTGTTTTCGATTTCTATATTGTTCGATACGAAGGTTGGTTTAGTCTTTATCTTATTTGAAAATTGAAAATGTTATTAAGCTTTTGCATTTTTATATTGATATAAAGATTATTTGAAGCATGGACTAAAAGAATTATATTGTGCAAAAATACACATTAATGTTATGTGCTGTAGCAGTTTCTTAAATTCGTACTATAAAAAGAAATTTCTAATGCAATATAGAAATTCTAGTTCTCTCTATAGAAATGAACGTTTTAAATAACCCGAAAAAATTTAGGAAAACGTGAAAACTAATTTTACATTTAAAGAGAAATATTCCGAAAAAATCTTCACAATTCGAATTTGTGATACAGTAAATATAAGTATATAATATTCAGAGAATTATTTTCAAAATTTTGTCATTTTTGTTACAAAATTATATAATAAACAAGTAAGATATTTTATTTACAATAAAGTACCTCATATATATTCTACAAAAATTAAAACATTTACTTTTGATTATATACTTTTGATTCTACATTCTTGTTAATTATATGTATATTTATTTAAAATTTACATAAATGTTTAATGTATTATGTTAATACATGATGTATACAAATTTCGGTCGTGTGCAATTCTAGCATTTATAAGAATACAAACAATTAAAAATGTGCTAATTAATTATTTTATTTTAATTAGATTTCGTTCATTTTTTTCAATGCAAAGTATAAAAAAATTCGGTCTAAATCGAGCAGTAATAAGATGTTTTTATAAAATAAATTTCAAGTTTACAATGTTAGTATAGCATAAAAAAAAAATAATATTTAAAAAATAATATAATGATCGAATGTTTCGGAACTCACGGGTCTCTCCTCAGCGATTCTTGAAGATGTTACAAAGTCATAGAGATGATAATCTTACGGTCTAAGTGACATGGTGTGGTACAAATTGTTTCGAATAAATTGATTCTCCTGTTTTTATGAGTGTGGAAATTGCGTAATAAAATGTGTGAAAACAGGAGCATCTTTACGTACTCGTCTGATTTTGTTAGGCGCAAGTGTTACAATGTATAATATTTTATTTTAACTATTTCTATATCTTTACTTTTTTCTTTACTTTACTTATGATTATGAAAAGTATTAGTAACATAGTCAGAAAAAGATATATTAGTTAATGAGTAAAGTAACCAATAATAATATACATATAGTATAACTCGTATATTGTTGAAAATGTGGAAGTTTTTTTTATATTTTGCGAGCATACATATATTATATATATGTAGATATATATTGCCATGTCTTTCTCTGGGACGATAAGCAGTTTCTATCGAATTAGTGTTGTGGTAATTACTGCAAAACCAAGATATTTAAATAATGGGAGGTTTTAACAAGAAAAGATTATATATTCTTTTATTATAAATTATTTACAATAAAATAGATTTCAGTATTGCATATATATTGTATATTGTTATATATATAGATATACACACACACACACACACACACATATGTATGTGTGTGTATAAATCTAATCAATTGCAAGTAATTTTTTATTTTAATGTGAACTTGAAATGAAGCAGCGTTGGCATTTGACAAAATATATTTTGAGAAATATTCTCTTGAAAATATATTCACCGTCCTTTTGTCCATAGTACCTGATACAGGTACAATGTATAAAAGAGAGGCTTGAGGGTGCGATTTAGATTTTGAAATGATGTTTGTGTAAAGGATTTAACAAAATATATCTCAATATTTCCAACTTTCAAGTATTAATCACTCTAAAATATTAATAAAATGAGCAAGTGAGAGTTAATCCGTAAGTTAATAATTTGCGTGAAATATTTAATGCTAACGAATTACATAAAATTTATACGAACGTTTCGACTCAATTTGAGTCATCTTCAGCGTAAAAATTCTCAAATATGGTTAGATGTTGGGGAGAGTATTTCAAATATTATTTATATTAAGCAAAATATTTTTTTATTCAAGATGTGTACTTGTATGTATTGTGTACATTTCACGATTATTCTTCTATTCCTTTAAATTTATATAAATGTAGAGTTCCCAATCTCTTAAACAATTTGTATCCATATAATTTTTTAATATAGTTATGACGATAATTAACTTAAATGATTTTGATGATGACTGTGATATATATATATATATATATATATATATATATATGATGTATGTATATATACATATATGACAGTTCTTGATAAAAAAAAGACAAATTTCGAATATCTAGTTTTAATTTACTAAGCAATAAAAAAAAATTCAAATTCAAATTAATTTATTAATTCTTAAATATCAATTAATGGGGAATCCCATTAATAAATTAATTTAAATTTGTGATCTGAAATTATAATATGCTCTTTATCGATCTATCTTCCTTTTATCGTAAATTAGTGGAACAGCAATACTGCGGTCGTGGTCATCATAGACTTTAAAGTGGAACGCACCCATAGTATCTTGTTAGTGATTTATATGATCAAGACCCAATTGTGTGTATCAACGTTATTTTAACTTTGCAAGGTTTAAAATTCTCTTCTAAGCTGTCATAAGATAGCACATTAAAATTAAGGGTCGACAGGAGTGACCCATGGAGACCAGAAATATTTTTGTTATACCTCTTTTTACAAAAAAATAGCTCTGTACGAGTCTTCGGGAGCCTTTTCTGATTACGAATATCACAATCAAAACACGATTCATGTTATATTTTAGTCATAATTTCAGCATAAAAGTATACATTTATGAGTGCAGATCAATGCAGATCTAGGTCAGTTATGCTCATTTTTTTTCTCAAAGAAATAATATTTCCTTATAAAACCTGTTGGGATTTCATTATTATATTGCTGGGAAGGCTCGTACAGAGTCAGATTTGCAAATTGATTCTTGAAAATTTTTATTAAAATAAGATCATGTATACACCTCTCAACTGCACCATCTAGTACACATCGAGTGAGATAACAGAACAAATTTTTATGCCTTTTTTGCAAAAAAAAATAGCTCTGTACGAGCCTTCAGGAGCCTTTCCTAATTACGAATATCACAATTAAAACGCGATCCATCCAGTATTTTAGCCGTAATTTGAGAATAAAAAATTCATCTTCGACTAGAGGTCTCTGGGTCACTACTGTCGACCCTTAATTGTTCTCTCCACATTCGACAGTAAATGGTCAATTTCTTTGTAACTGACGGTACAAATTAACAGTTTACAGCATATATAAATAATTTTTTAATTTTTGCAAGCACTGTATGCATCAAGTAAACACATTTGATAGTTACGAAAATTGATTCAGGACCGGTCAATAATTAATAATAATAATAATAATACCTTGTTGTGTGTGATGTCATTACTGATTTATATTTATTATATTATATCTCTACGTCGATTTTAATTCAAAATCATAGTGATACTTTGAAATGATATTTGTCACCTTTATTTACTCAAAAAATGAAATCTCAATTTAATAATTATAAGTCCAATAAAATTTTCGTTAATTAATGCAGCATAAAGTTATATAAATATACCAAAAATTAAATATATTCCATTTATTGTAGTACAATTATAGAATAGAAACAACTGTGTGTAAGGTACCTAATATAAAATGCTCTAGTTCAGAAATAGAAAAGGAAGAATCTAGTAACCTAATGACACAATTTAAAAGGTAATGACTTAGAATAAGATTTTTTCACACAAAATTTACTGAATTAATAATAAATATAGTTATTAAGAAACAATATGGTTTGCTTTGAGATCGAAAATTAATGATCTATTATAATTAATTCGTCGATACCCCAATCTTCATAACTATTATCAGGTAAATAGCGGCGTATAATTATAGGAATTTTTCGTTGCTTTAATTCCTTCATAGCAATTTGCAACGGATCTGTCTCACCTTCTAATTCTACCATCACAGGAGCACACATTGCTATCTGTAACGCTCTTGTACCTAGAACTCTTGCCCTTTCATATCTAAAATATTGATTATATAATATATCTACATATACTATATATATATATATATAATATATAAAAACAATATAAATTATATAATATATACTTAGTCATATATCTCGTCGTTATTCTCTTAGATCTTTGGACACCACCGGTAGCTTCATTAGCGTTCAACAATTCAATATTTTCACCATCATCTTCTTGAGGCTCTAATTCTATGTTGTCCTCGTCATCTACATCATCGAAATCATCTGCGACTCTATAGAATACAGTTAAATTAGTTTAAATTAATCGCAAACAAGTAATCTGTCTGTATAAATTATACTTAATCATTAAACTTTTTCTAGTCTTTTAAGGTCTATTTTTTATTCCTACACTGTCTGAATAGTGCATATAATAAATTGAAATAAAACAAACATATATTTGTTTTACTTCAATTTATTATACTGGGCTGCGTTCAGAATCATCATCTGAGTACACTCAAGTGTCATGTTATCCTTGTTTATCATTCAGGAATAAAAAACAGACCTCTAATTTGGGATAAAGAGTAACTGTAATAAAAAACCAAATTTGACTAAAAAATTTTAAACTATTGGGTTCGACTCCCTGCTGAGATAATATTTTTACAATAAGAATTATTATTTTCAGATTTCAACGTCGTTAAAGATCGATATAAGATGCCAAAAAGACCATCAAATAATTATTAAATTGTTAATCAATTTAAATCGTGATAGTACTGCGGCAGTTTATTAGAGTTGCGTTTTAAAACCGATAATTGTTCGGCGCGCAGTTTAAAAAGACTACATATAGTATATAAATTTATGCGAAATTATATATGAGCAACTAAGATCTAGCTAGACTTATAGGCTTCAATTCGTATTAGTTATGTTCTTTACTGACAATCCTTTGCAATTTAATATTGACTTAAAAATGTGATACAAATAACCTGTCAATATATCCAAAACAATTCTTGATAACTTACTCGTCTCCGTCGAAATCTTCGTCAGCCATTATTTATTAATTTATTTCTATTGTAAGAAATAAACTCTCTTCTTCTTCTTCTAAATTTGAGTGGACCAGGTTCCGTTAAAAACCGGATTAAATAAACTCTGCGTCGGAGTCGGACTGTGTGTGACTCAGTGTGACTCCGCCAGTAGTAGCACAGTATATACAGTAACGCAACTCTCCTGATTGTGTGAAGCCTAAAATGGAGTGCGCATGCGCGAAATGGGTAACTTGCCCAGTAACGCCGTCTACACTTCTATCTCAGGATGCCGTCACATGCGGCGTTAACTTGCGTAAGCGTAACCTGCGTAATCTAGTAAATTTTCAAAATACGCATGTTACGTTATGCAATTCTTTGGTCGGCATTCACATAGGACGTATTTTACGGAATTGCGTAAAATGTGTAACTAATACAACCAATCGCTGATTAGAGTTTCTGTTGTACTCTCTAACAGAAATGCTAATCGAATTTGCAATTGGTTTTCATAACCTACGCATTTCAAAAAGTACGCCTCGTGGGGAACCCGACGCTTTGCTGACGGACTTTCTTATGTCACAAAGTGCATCATCCGATGTATGTATGCTTCCAGTTCCGACGAGCTACCCGATCGTTACTGACGCGTTTCGGTTTACACCAAAAATGGATAAGGATCAAATCAGAATTAAGTTAAGAATAATGAATTTGGTAATTATATAGAATACGGTCCTCACCTCCGATTTTGATCTAAATAGGCTCATTCGACGCGTTTTCACTCAAAATGAAAGAATCCGGAAGAAATTTGTGGCGCTCGACCTCGTGAACCGAGATATTAAGCGTTAAGGAGCCTACAGATCAGAGCGGCGCAGCGGTGAGCGATAGCCAATGAGAGCCATGCTTTTACGCAAAAGCATGACTCTCATTGGCTATCGCTCGCCGCTTCACCGCTGCGCCGCTTTGGTCTGTAGGCTCCTTTAAGCGGGGAGCACAGACTTTTGCATAACGCATAAACCATATACATAAAGAATTTGATTGGTCCATTGACTCATGCATAAGAAAATGGGCCAATGAAATTCCTTATGCATATGCTTTATGCGTTATGCAAAAGTGTGTGTTTCTCGCCTTAGGGTGCAAACCCATGCAGCGGAATAGCGGAACGCAGAACGAGAGCGGAAAGCGGAAGAGCAGATAACCGATTAGAACTCACTCTGGTAGTAAATAGTACAAAACTAACAGAAAGTTGACTACCTGATTGGCTACTACTTTTCCGCATTCTGCTTTTCCGTCAAGGTGTGAACCCGCCCTTAAAGTTTCATTGTATGACCAAATATCACGCTTATTATCCATTTTTGAACGGTTTATACTTTTAACCTTTTAACGAATAATGGAAAGATTGGCGATATTTACTTTTAATCTATTTCAGTCATTTCCACCGACTAAAATTTAATGTCAATTCGCTGCCACTTTGGTCGAAGTTGTGGATCGAAATGGAAGTGAAATGAGCGGAGTCAAACTTATAGGTACAATTTCATGCTAACGCTTGACGCTTATTTTTAGCGTCAAAACAGATCACGTGATCAGAATTGATGCTTAAAGGTACCTTTTCATGCTGACGCTCATTTTCAGCGTCAAAGCAGATCACGTGATAAGAATTGACGAATAGCAAGTGTCAATTTTAATCACGTGACCTATTTTGACGCTAAAAATGAGCGTCAAGCGTCAGTATGAAATTGTACCTTTTCCATCGAGTTAATTTTGGTTCTACGCCGCATTAGGTGCGAATTAATGCTTCGGTGGAAACTAGACCTGTATATATATGGTTTCATTTTAACTTATTGCACCGTGTGCACTAGTTCAGACAGTGCAGGACCAAAAACAGATCCACTTATGTTGGAACTTAAAGTGAGACGGACATATGTTTGACATTTGTTGAAAGTGAGAAAGAAAGTTTAGTGCAATCTATTGCAGGAGCAGAAAACCTCATGCACGCGATTGAAATTCTCAAGCGTGATTGGTCGTATTATTGGCTACATCGAGTCTTCACCGATTGATATACGGTTCGGCAAGAATTGTCAAAAGTTTTAAACTATAAACGTTGTCTTGTAATTTGTTTATATTTTGGGTTTTCGAAAAATATTGTATGAGACTAACGTAAAATGGCCACAGAGAAAGATTTGATAAATGGTATTTGATTATGTAAATATTATATGACTGTTAAATATTTTGTAGTCAAGAAAATTACAGAATTATTTGATATGTAAACCATTATTTTTATATTTTATTCACGACAGTAAACTATATGATACAAGCAACAATACTGTGTACTATTTTATATAGAAAATATTTTTATTTTTTCGTTCTTTTGTCGCTTGTATACTTTTTATAAATTTATTATTGTATCATAATATGGTATTTGATTAAAGATTCTCTCATTAGCATTTGTGTATCTATAAAATATAAAAGACAATATCCTTGCTTACATTTTAAATTTGTAGCTGTACGAGAATCGCTAAAGGCCGATGGAAATCTTGATCGGATAAAAGCGGAAATGCGTACAGAAGTAATAAAACTGCTTGATTGTTCTAGCAAGGAGAACAAATCAAATATTGTTAAACCTTCACACGATATTGTTTTTCTCAATGAACTCGTCCGAGAATATTTGGATTGGATGGGTTACAAGTATAGCTCTACTGTATTTATTGCAGGTATGTCATGTTATGGAATATATACAATCACTGTACATATCGTTATACTTAGCTTGAATGTAATGGGCTATATCAAATGTGAGAATATCTTTTTTTAAACAAAATCTCGATGTTAAATAATATGATTGAATAAAGGATGTTATTTCAGAATGTGATCTTCCCAAACATTGTTTGGATCGTAAACTTCTTGTGCAAGGCTTAGGAGTGAAAGATGGTGAAAAGAGTAAAAATTTACCACTGTTATGTGGTCTCATACAAACATTCACCAATTTAAAAAATACCTAATTATAACATCTGTACGAGCATGTATTCAACTGCGATTTTTAAATGCTATTTATTTCCTAAATATATATATATATATATATATGTTACAAATCACATTTATTTTACATATACAAACATAAAAACATGCACAAGCTTAGATATATACATATTATATTTATTATAATACAAATAATAAAAAGCCAAACACAGTACTTAAGTCCCATCTGTAACACATGGTAACTTTTTTGTTAGTAGATATATGATGAACACGAAGTCATCTTTTTTTAAATTTTGATGTATTTATGTGAGACAAGAATATGTTAAAAGAATTTTACCATTTTATTTTTCGTGATTTTTGTTACATATTGACATTAAGTTATGAAAGTACAATATAACGGTGAAAGAAGGAAAGATATATGTATATATAATAGATAGCAGGAGATCCTAAATTGCTCTCTTATATTCATTATATAAGTTGTTTAAAGAGTTAACACTTTTTGACAAAATTGCCACAAAATTATTACAATGTATACATTGCTTATTGTAATAATAAACTTACGTACTAATACTTTTTAATATATCAAGTTGAAATATGACAATTATGCAAAGGCTACATCATGTTATTCTTTTCCTTTTTTTTTCCTTTTTTTTTTAACGTTAGAATAGTTTAACTATTGTAGTTATTTCCAACTTTTTTGTTTCTTCTACTCGCATTAATTTGTTTTGCCGATTCAATGTTTACTGCTTTTACCGCTCATGTCAATAAATCAATAGATAAATACTCTACTATTGAATGACGTGTGTTCAAAAAAATTTGGTCGCACACGTTGAACTGTAGCAACGAATACGAAATAATGTTATTATTCGCAATTATTATTATAATTTCCATAATAATTGAAGTATACTATACGAAAAAAGAAAGAGTTCTGACCTTTCTTTCCTTTTTTTTTTTTTGTTTCTTTCTAAGGTACAGTAAGATGAAGATTCTTTGATTGAACATCAAAGAGACATCTAGTGATGTCATTTATGCTTGGATTTCTTCTTCTTCTTTGACTGCTTGCTTCTACTCTTTGATTTTTTCGATTTCTTCTTATGTTTCTCTTCGTCGCTGCTGCTGTCGGACGAATCAGAGTAGGTATCCGAGTCCGAACTGCTATCCTTTTTGGCAGATTTCTTCTTTTTATGTTTCTTATGCTTCTTTCTTTTTTTCTTGTGTGACTCATCGCTGCTATCCGAATCGGAGCTTGTAGTGTCAGAACTGCTGGAAGTGTCTTCGCTGCTACTTGATTTGGATCGTTTCTTCAAAGATTTGATCTCCATTTCTTTGTCTATTTCTGTTTCGTCAAGTTTCAATTTCTTCGCAGGTGACGGTTTTCCTTCCTCGCCATCCGATTCCGAGTCCGAAGCAGAGTAGTCGGGTTCAAAACTCGCCTCGTCGAGTATACTGCGCTTGCGATCGGACACCAATCTCGGATTCTTTCTTTGTTTCTTCAATGATTCTGCTAAAGGTGGCTCAATATTCTCGTAACTGATCTTGATCTCGTTACCATCCGACTTGTCCTTAGAGATCGCATTCTCCTTGTGCTTTTGCTTCTTTTCCTGATTTTTGTCTTTATCCTTTTTGTGCTTCTTCTCCTTGCGTTTTTTATGCTCTTTGGATTTACTCCGACTGCGATGCTCCTTCTTTCTCTTCTTTTCCTCCCGAGACTTCTTGTCACGTTTTTTCTCTTCTTCGTCATCTTTCGATTTCAACAGGCCAATCTTAGATATTTCCGTTCTCTTGAATACGCAAGCCGAGGAGGGTGTCCTACCTCTGTGTTCACGGTCTCGTTCTTTATCGCGATCTTTGTCGACGCGTTCACCTTTCATGTCGCTTCTATTAGAACGAAAATCCGTTCTGCAATCAATTCTACTCTCCCTATCGGATTTCAACTCGCTTCCATGCCTGTCACTTCGGAAATCCGACCTCTCCTTTGGGCGATCGCATCTATCCTTGTTGTCACGTTTTCTCTCTTCCAAGAACACTTTTCGTTCGCCAGTTGTTGCAGATAAGTTCAACGAAGAGGATTCTACGCGTCGCTCTAAAAGCGGAGGAGAGAGCCTCTTTTCCCTCCTGGGCGATCGACTTCTCGACTGATTTTCGTTCTTGGTATCACGCCTCTCCAGGAATCCTTTTATAGGACTAACCTTTCTCTCCTTGCAGTCTTCAATCTTTTCACCGAGTCTTTCCTTCGCGGACAGCCTGGTCGGCGAATAGGCTGTTTCTGGCACGGGTTTAAACTTGGTACGATCGAGCTTGGCTTTCTTCGTTGGCTCAGTAATCTCGACATTTCTCTCGTTTCTACCAACGTTGATCGTCACGTTGACGCTCTTTCGCGGTTCTCGATTGGATGTAGACTCTACCGTTTCCAGTACCTTAGGCTCGGGATTCTGATACAGTATCTTTCTGCTTTCGCTGATCTTCTTGATCTCGATTGGTCGGATCGCATTAATTGCCTTTTGGAATATGGCGTTCTCTGCACGTTTCAGCACCTCCGACGTAACCACCTTAATCGATTTCGGCTCATCCTCTCTCGGTATTTTCTCCGTCGGCGATCCACTCACGTTGTCATCGTCGTCATCATCGTCGGGTTTTTCGATCGTATCATCCCTTTCCCACTTAGACAATTCGGGTATCGGTGCCAGAAACTCATCTTTTTTCGGCGATTTCTCCGTTGCCAGCATGATAGTAGCTTCTTTCGTCTCGGTCTGCGAGTGTTCCGAAAGTAAAGAATATTTTTCCGTGATCACAGTATTAATTTCTGTGTCATCCAATCCTCCATAGAGGCTGTCGATCGGTTTCATGTCTGACTTGAGTTCGGGGATCGGTTTGAAGTTTGGATTTGGTGGATTTGTACCAAATTCCGCGCGATCTAATCGACCGCTACCTGGACTGGGTTCGTTAAATTCCGGTGGTTCGGGATTCATTGCAAGAGACTTGTCCTCAAATTCCTCTTTGATTGGTGCGATAGACACTTGGTTGGAAATACATTCGATCCTGTTCTGTATGTTGTCTTCCTCGCTGCACGCGACCTGTATAGAGTCGGTTTTGTTAGGCGGCGAAGACGAAGTGTCATTATTTATTTTACTCTCAACTAGCAGATCGTCCGTTTCTGTCATTTTAACCGTCAGATCGTCCTTTGCTATTTCTTTCTGATTGGACTTCTTGTCCTTTTTCTTCTTCTTCTTTTTCTCTTTTTCATCACTATCCTTCTTCTTCTTCTTTTCCTTTATCTTTTTCTCTTTCTTCTTCTCTTCTATCTTTTCCTCATGGTCCTTTTCTTTCTTCTTTGCATTTCGTTCTGGGGACAAATCTTTAGGATCGCCTCTAAATTTCTGCGAGTATGGACTTAGACTCTTCCTATTCTTTTTCCGTTCCATTGAACGTCTTTCGTATCGTTCGTGACGATCTCTGTCTTTCTCAGTTTCGTATTCACGTTCGCGTCTCTCCTTCTCTCGCAGTCGATTCTTGTCATCTTGCCTATGACGATCTCGATCATCTCTATAACTACAATAATAAATGAAGATATAAATGACATCAGATCTCCAACAAATTAGTAAATCAACTGAAAGCATATCTTTTTTCAGCACGAAATTTTAAGTAACAAACATGTGTTAAAATTTTTATTATATTAATTCTTACTAACGTGCTGAATAATTTTAATGTGATCTAATGATATTTTTAAAAATTACGATTTGTGTTGGACCGTCGATATTTAAAAACGAGTAAATATGATATATAATCGGTCAAATGACGGTCAAGAGCAGGATTTTGGTTGCTAATATAATGTGTGAATTTTATTTACCACGTATGTAGTCCCCTTAATCGCGTGCCGAAATTTTTTCAGACTTATAACTTAAATATCGACGATCCAACACAAATCGTAATTTTAGAATAACGTTGCTTGCAAAATACGTTCAAAATATTATTTAAACGGAGAGCATTGTGAAGAATATCACTACGTCGACTCGCCAACAGAGGTCTATAATTAGGCTTGCCAATTCTCGCAAGTACTGTGATACATGATTATCCGTTTATATAGAACTTCTTTCTAATATCTCCTCAGGCGTCTAAGGTAGGCTCCCACTACATTACCTTACTAATGAGTCTAGTAGGGGGAAGTCGGGACGAAACGCCAACTTGTGATATTCTTCGCAATCTTATTTTTCTCAGATTTCGATTTATCATTAATTTAACATTACATCGTTAAATTTCAATATGTCTTTCAATATATTATTAAGATCCAATAAGATGCTATAAGCATCAAAAATTGTTAGATTGCTTGTGTCAATTTAACTAAAGTGATATTATTACGGTAGTTGATTAGAGTTGTAAGTCTGAAAAAATTTCGGCACGCGATTAAGGGGACTACATACGTGGTAAATAAAATTCACACATTATATTAGCAACCAAAATCCTGCTCTTGACCGATATTTTTTAACTTAATTGATTCAAAATATACCGTTCTTTATCATAATCTTTCTTCTCGATATGCCTGTCATCGTCTCGACGCTCGCGAATGTGTCTTTCATCTCGTTCCTTCTCCTTTTCTCTTCTGTCGCGTTCGTCTTTCTCTCGTATCCTATCCTCGTGTTCTCTAGGTGGGACTTGCCTATCGCGATCCTCACGATCTCTATTTATGATTCTGCGATCTCTGTCATCTCTTTCGCGCATACGATCTTCACGTTCACGAACCCTTTGAAAAATACAAAATACATCACAAATATATTAGGAGTAGGGGAACCCGGGGTATAATGGGATGTACTCGATATCTGGTTACAGAGATGCTAATATGTAATGAATTGTCAAACAATAGTTACTGTTAGATGTATCTTTTTATATATTGTTATTAGTTGTCATATTATTTTTACATGAATATTGCTAAAAATTGTTTAATGTGTTCGTTTTGCTGTCCGCGAATGAGTTACAGGTTCTTTGGTATATTCGTGTAAGGTAAGCAATTCTATTTTTTATTGTCACAAATACATTTATCTTATTATATGATCTTTTCTTGTTACTTTAGTATAATCTATACAAATATATTGTTTATCTGGTATTTTATATTACCTAAAATAAATTAATGTACTTTGAGGCATAATGGCGCACTAATACACGGGGCACAATGGTGCACATTTGCAGATTTGCTCAGTGGCTGCCGCCGCGGCGCTATCCGCCGTGACACATAATTGAGGTTAGGCGCCAGCCTTTACGTGTTTGCGTATTTTTAACTATCAAGAATTTTGTACGGATTACGAAGTGCACATGTACAGAAGTGTTATCTAGTAACATTGTATTTAATAATGTGTTCTAAGTCACTTTTAAGCAATATTCAATATTAATTTTTTAAAAGTAGACAAGTTTTACGTGGTATCCCATTATACCCCGCATAAATGACATAGCGAGATTATGACACACTTTCACAAAACAATAATTTGTCCTGTTAACTTATACTTTTGCAGTAAAACTTAGGTTTTTCTTATAGTAAAGATTCCAAAGAAAATTTTAATATATACGAAAGTTGATTAATTTATTTTTAATATATTTAAAACTTGAAAAAACTTAACTATAACCATTATACCCCGGGTTTATAAATAAGTTTCCGCCGTTTGACAAAAGATGGCGCCACCAGTATGTTATGATTAAAATTGTTTGTACCGGCCCGATAGGCTCCCCCTAGTGGCTGTAACCTTCTTTATTTTCAATAAAAAAAAAATTGTCTGCTGTAAAACGTCATATCGTAAGATTAGACATCTGGCAACAACATAACCTTGAAATATTAGCGATTTTGTAACAGCATCATATATCTTTTTTCGTGTGAAAATGTTGAGTTTTGAGCCGAATAAGCGTCATTTGATTTACTTTTTTAATTTGAAGAAATTTGCAGCTGAGGCGCATCGATTGCTTGTAGAAGCATATGTTGAGACTGTCTTAAGTGAGAGAAGTTGCCGTGAGTATGGTTTCAAAAGTTTAAGAACGGTGAATTTAACGTCGAAGACAAAGAACGTAGCGGAAGGCTGAAAGTGTATTAAGACGCGGAATTGGAAGCATTATTGGATGAAGATTCGTGCCAAATGCAAGAAGCACTTGCACTTACATTAGGAGTGACTCAACCAGCAATTTCACATCGCTTAAAATCATTGGGAATTGATTCAAAAGCAAGAAAATTGGGTTCCATATGAACTGAAGCCGAGAAACGCCGATTTTTCACATGTGAAATGCTGCTTGCCAGGCATAAACAAAAGGGTTTTTTGCATCGTATAGTCACTGGTGATGAAAAATGGATCCACTACGATAACCCAAAGAAGAAGAAATCATGGGACCACTTGGCCATGCTTCAACATCGACAGCCAAGCCGAACATTCATGGAAAAAAGTAGTGGCTAGCGATGGATAATACTTCGAATATAACATTAGGTACTGTTCTTTCACAATAAATGCCCAATTTCTGATTAAAAAACGGTGGAAACTTATTTATATTCCTAATAGTATATACAAAATACATCTTTTGTAATACGACCGCGATAGTTCCTCTCATGAAATATAAAATGATTTAAGAGAAAGATTAATGTTCTTTAATTAAAGAGCAGTCATCTATCTCAGACTCGATACAATGCCCAACAATATTACCTCTCGTCCCTCAATCTATCACGTTCATCATTATCACGATCCTTGGATGAATGTTCTCGATCTTCTTGATCCCTAAGGGACCGCTGCCTCTCGCGATCGTCCCTTAATGGTCTCTCGGAATGGTCGACACCCGGTGGCGAAAGATCATAGTAGCCCTCGGTACCAGGCGGTGCTACGTCATCGAATCGTTTATGTGACGAAGAATCCCTCAAAGGACTGTTAAAACGCTGCGGCGGTTGAGGTCCGGAATATCTGTTGACAGAAAGTCAGTACAGTACTTGATACATTAGTATTATTTTGCTAAATATTAGATATATCCTGAGATTTTCTCTTCCCTCCTTTTTTTAAATATATAATGCCTTTTTATAGAATTGGCATAGCGCGCGAAGAACACCGTTGCGTAGAATAGTTGTTAGTAACGAATTTATTTAATGTCGAAGTATATCGAGAAAATTAATCGTGTTACGATACTCGTAGAGAAAAAAGAAACTCAGAGAATAGCTTGTCCCTTAAATTTTCTTCCGTCAATTCCGAGGTTTATTTACCACATCTGTGGTGCGTACATGGAAGACACCTATTTAATAAAAATTCAAATAATTAAGATAAAAATGTTAATTTTTTTAAAATTGTTGCACCTTAATCTCCACATACAAGCTGAAAGAACGTAATCACAATCACCTCTTGCCGATACTTTGTTAAAATCATTAACTAAAATTATAGAATCATGAAAAATAGAAAGCAACATTTGTAACTTTGAGCTGCTTTAAAAAATATGAAAATTATGTATTTTTATTATTACAATTACGTAAATATTCAAATGATGATAAACGTAAAATTAAAAAAATTGTTAGATAGTCCTTTTGAAATTTATGTTTGATTTGTTTATATTATGACAGGATACATTTTCAATAATATGTCCCGAATCTGGTACCGAAATTGAATGAAAATAAGCTTTTTTTCATTACAAATGTTGATTTGGCCCTGAATTCACCTGATTCAGAAACCATGCAGACGTGTCAATCAGCTGGCTTGCTTCTCTCCATGATGGTCCTCGAAATTCTTCCTTGTTTCTGTCTTCTTGTTCCACTTTTAAATTACATTTCACAATATGCATGTTATATGTATATATATATACATATATATATAATATATACACATATATATAATATTATATATATATATATATATATATATATATAAACATTAAATCACACACATGCATTTTACATTAATTATATATCCAATAATAGTGTAAAATAAACAAAGTACGCTCTTATTCTACAGTATAATTCTTATGTAAAACATTATATTGCACATACGACGGTATCAAGATTAATTTATATAAAAAGACTTATACATATATACGTACGTATACTATACATCTATGTATGTACGTGTGTGTGTGTGTGTGTGTATACTACATACACACACACATACACAAAACACACACACATACACACACATATACAATTTTTTATGTAGTAAAGTCATAAAACTAGAAATAAATCTTACATATATTTGATGTATACTTAATCTGATATAAAATATCAAATATATTGTATGTAATTAAATCGCTATTAATAAAATAACATAATGTATAAAGAAATTTGATGACAATATTACACACAATATATGTACTTAAGTATATTCTAAAAGTATAAAATATAACATGTACAAATACATATAATACATACATACACATATATATATCTAAATACATATGTACAATATATTTAAATAGTTATACAAATATATTAAAATTATTATTTTCTCTCGTTATTACAACATATCTTAATGATTTAATTGTGAAATTTTATATATATATACAGATACTATTCGCAAAGAGTATAGACTGATATTGAGAGGTATGCGCGTGCTCTCTCTCTCTCTCTCTCTCTCT